GTATACTGTCGGGTAGATCGCTAGTCATGGTCTGAAGCCACAAATGGGTCAAATTAGCATCTCCACCCGGATGCTGTACTCTCAGCCATGGCCCGAAGCAGGTTTCCTCAAACAATTTTCTTTGTGCAGGTGAAAGCTTCGAAGCAATTGTAGTAGCTAGTCTAACTTTATTCCTTAATGTCAATGAAGCCGAAAAAAATTTCTACAAAAACAATAAACATACCAAGTTAGATATACCAAAAACTACACTGTGAAGATATACCAAAAACAATAAACATAAATAGTAGTTTATTCTTAAAACTAAAATTTGCAACACAGTTTTGTCTTTTGGTTGAAATGAAAATCGCAACGAGAGAATGAAAATTGCAACGCGGAAATGACTATTGTAACGCGAAATTAAAATCGCAACGAGAGAATCGCAACGCGAAATGAAAATCGTATTTCGCGTTGCGATTATATCGTTGCGATTTTCATTTCGTATTGCGATTCTCTCGTTGCGATAGTCATTTTCGTGTTGCGATTTTCATTTTCATGTTGCGATTTTAAGTTTAGAAACTATTCTTCTTCTGCATTACTTCAACCAAAAGACAAAACAAAGACAAATACTAACTTCACAGGGTTAAAGACTAAACAGTTTAGCAGTATTGGCAGCAATCGAATGAATTTAATAAGAAATCTAAGTGAAATGGTTAATCTATTATTGAAATTATCAGTAAACTTATCATCAATTTCAATATGAAAAACCTAAAATAATGCAAAATTTTCAAAATAAAAATAATTAAAAAAAACTAACCCTCGGAGGTTGATTTTCCATTTCTGAATGATTGTGATGGATTTCTGACCGTAAATGGTTGTGAGGGATTTCGCCGGAGATGGGGACGGAAATCTTCGGAGATGGGGACGGATTTCGCCGTAGAGAGTGAGAAATGGAGATGGGACTGAGTTGTGATTTTAGGTTTTAGGTTATGAGTTGCGATTACGGGATATACTGTGGACGGTTCAGTTTCTGATATATTAATATATTCGTGTTTGGAATTTGAAAAAAAAATACGCGTTAATACGAATGACGCTATGTAAATCGCAATGCGATTACGTAAATCGCAACGCGAATTTGGGAAATCGCAATGCGATAGTCAGAATCGCGTTGCGAATTTGGAAACTGATTTGCGATACCGGAGATCGCGTTACGAATTATCGATCGCATTGCGATTTAGTTGGTCATTTTGGTAAATCCAAAAAAAATTGGTTAAAATCGTATATTATAAGGCATTTTTAGTCACTGAGGTTATTTTCTCTTTAAATATATGACGCGAGAAGTTCTACAGTGCGACACTCTTAATATACAACTAAAAAAAGATGTTACCGGTTTTGTTATGATTTAAATAATAAAACCGGTAAAAAATTGCATAAAATATTATTATTTTTACCTAAAACATCAATGTTTTTTAACATTTTGGGTAAAGTGTCTAACAATAACAAAATCGATAGAAAAAATAAAAAAACTATAAAAATAATAATGTTTCCTATAAATTTTTACCGATTTTATTATTTAAATAATAATAAAAATAATAATATTTTTTTACCGTATATTAAGGCTGACACACGTCATTATTTCTAATATGACGCATTATGTTTGAGTTGTCAATTATTCATGCAAAAATGCTATCTTATCACCATTATTATCGTAATTCCTTGTGAATTTCATGTTGGTTCATTGTGTTTGCGATTATCTCTTGCCTTTCCAGCTTGTTTGAATGCTTTGTAATTAGGTTTTTGGATGAGATATGAGCTCTTTGCAGACCCTTTTAGTACCTTCACTGACCTCTGCTGTCTCATCACGCTCAAACCCTCGTTATTCACCTCTGGAAGCTCTTGAAACATGCTCCTCCACGGCCAAACTCAAGCAACACCATGCCCAACTCACCAAACTCGGCCTTTCCTCTGATAATGATGCCATGGGTCGACTCATTAAGTTATGTGCAATTGACAAAAATGGAGATTTGGACTATGCCCTCCACCTGTTCGATATATTGCCTCAACCGGATGCTTTCATATACAATACTATAATCAGAGGTTGCTTGCAACATCAACAACCTGCTCAATGCATCCTTTTCTACTTGAAAATGTTGCAAGACTCTGTTCTTCCTAATAAATTCACTTTCCCTTGTCTCATAAGAGCTTGTTTGGTCGATGGTGCTGTTCGAGAAGGGACGCAAGTCCATGCCAGCGTCTTCAAATTCGGGTTCGCCGATGACGGGTTTTGTCTAAACAATTTGATTCATATGTATGTGAATTTCAGGGCCTTGGAAGATGCTAGGAAGGTCTTTGACAAGATGCCCGGGAATAGGAGAGATGTTGTTTCGTGGACCACTTTGATAAGCGGGTATGCTCAATTGGGTCTCGTCGATGCTGCTTTCGAGATTTTCGAGCTGATGCCGGAGAGGAATTCGGTTTCTTGGAACGCCATGATTGCTGCTTATGTGCAGAGCAACCGCTTCCACGAGGCTTTTGGTTTGTTTAATAGGATGAGGGCTGAGAAGGTGGTGCTGGATAAGTATGTAGCAGCTAGTATGTTGTCGGCATGTACCGGTTTAGGAGCTCTCGAACAAGGCGAGTGGATACATGGATATATACAAAACAAAGGGATTGAACTGGACTCGAAACTTGCTACGACCATTATCGATATGTACTGCAAATGTGGGTGCTTGGAGAAAGCTTATGAAACTTAAAGGTCTTACTTGTAAAGGGATTTCTTCATGGAATTGCGTGATTGGGGGTTTTGCTATGCATGGAAAAGGAGAAGCTGCCATTGCCATTTTCAAGGAAATGGAGAAGGAAGGCGTCGGTCCCGATAACATCACCTTTGTGAATATCCTTAGTGCATGTTCTCATTCAGGGTTGATCGAGGAGGGTCGCTATTACTTCCGGTACATGATGGAAGTTCACGGAATAGAACCGCGAATGGAGCATTATGGATGCATAGTTGATTTGCTTGGAAGGGCTGGATTACTAGATGAAGCCAAAACACTAATTGGATGTTGGTGTACTAGGTGCTCTTTTCGGAGCATGTAGGATCCATGGAAATATTGAGTTGGGAGAGGAGATAGGCAAGAGAGTAATTGAGCTGGAGCCGGACAACAGTGGACGTTATGTGTTATTGGCCAATATGTACGCCGACGCCGGCAGATGGGAAGACGTGGCTAACGTGAGGAGAATGATGAACGAAAGGGGAGTGAAGAAGGTTCCTGGTTTCTCGGTCATCGAATTACAAGGTGGAGTTAATGAATTTATAGCGGGAGGAAGGGACCATCCTGAAAGCAAAGAGATATATGCGAAAGTTGACGAGATGCTCGAATGTATTCGGGCTGTCGGGTACGTCCCTTCCGAGGGAGCGGTACAAGAGCTTGATGAGGAAGAGGAAAAGGAGAATCCTTTGGACTATCACAGCGAGAAGCTCGCCATTGCCTTCGGATTGTTGAAGACGAAAGCAGGGGAAACATTTCGAATAACAAAGAATCTAAGAGTTTGCAGAGATTGCCATCATGCCACCAAGCTTATCTCGAAGGTGTTTGATCGTGAAATCATCGTCAGGGACAGGAATCGGTTTCACCATTTCAAAGATGGAGTGTGTTCCTGCAAAGATTACTGGTAAACAAGTGCTTACCAATTACTTATGGACTAATTATGGTTTTAATCCCTCTACTATACTGAAATTCGAGATTTGACCCTTCCACTTTAATGTAACATAATTTGGTCTTTCAATCCGAAATTTTGTAAAGGGACTTAAGCCATAATTAGACATTTATGTGTTAAGTAACCTGAATGGGTAATTTAATTTGGTGTACGATTATTGTACACGCATCATCCCCAAACAGCTGTCCAATTGGCTACATGCATTAATCAACAATCTAAAAGCAGCAAAATTCCAAAGTAATTCAATGACAACTAGATAAATTTATTTTTTTAATCATAATAACTGTTAATTTATTAAATAAATAAAGAAAAACTATTATAAAAATATCATATAATTTTCTTTATTAATATATTAATATTTCCAATTAACTATTATTGATATACTGTAAAAAATTTAATAATAGTGATTAAAATTGATTTTTTGTGTGACTAAATTCACAACAGCTTAATTATGTGGTAGTTTGAATCCCCAATTTAAATTTGATTCCACATTATTATTATTTATATATATAAAAAGGAAGTTTGGAAGAAAAGAAAAGACAGCAGAGCAAACTTTCAGTTGAGATTAGTTGTATAAAAGCTTGGCTGCTTCCACTTACACTGTTAATTGTAAAAGCCTGTCTTTCCCCATCACCTACCACTGATAATTCCACATTTTCTCATCGCCCGATGCCCAAAAAGCCGAACCCATTTCTCACAAACCCAGAAAAAGCATAGAAACCTACACAAAAGTCCCTTCTTTTTTTAGAAATTGTTATTTGCTGCACCCATTTCAATGTGTTTCACTTTGGGGTTCGGCCCTTCTTTCATTATAAGCACCTCCCAAACTCCAATTTCTGCTTCTTCCTTTACCCCCTTTTGTCTCTAACCAGCACTGCTTGAACCAGGTTTGTTCTGATTTAACTGCTCTTCACTTTGTTTGATGGCATCTAGAGCTCAAAGCTTTGACTTTTTTTTATTGATCCAGTCAAATGATGCCTGTAATTCCTTTTTTTGTTAGAAATGTTTAATTTTGTTTGATGTTTGATTTAGAGGCTTTGGGTTTTGATGTTTGTTCAGTGTAGCCGGTGGTTGGGAATTTGATTGTGGTCTAAGATCTTTACTTGCTTTCCAGCTGCTCTTGCTGAATGTGAAATGTGTGATTTGCTATATCTCATGTAATTGGAAATTTGATTTGATTGGACTATCAATTGGTATTTGAATAAATGCTAGATATGTGGCGGTTTTCTTTTCATTATAATATGTAGATTGTGATTTTAAGATGCTTTCGATGATGATCGTTTGTCAGGCATATCGGTGTTGGCTAAATGGCATCTGATCTGAACAAAACTCGAAAACATACATTGTTCTGCAGCTTTGGGTACTTATTGTAATATACTTAGGAGTGGTTATTCTCGGTATATCTCTGTGGCTTAGTTTTCGGAAGAAAACCAGGACGGGTAGTGATTTGCTTCTCGTAAGGCAAGCACCTTATGTGCCTTATGTTTCGGAGGAAATTAAAGAGATCAGAGACGATCAAGCGACCAATGGTAGTATCAACACCCTTGATGCTAAATTCAGTGACGGAGATTCCGAGAAGGTTTTGTTTAATGCTGACAATGGAGATGAAAGTGGCCAGTCCGGTTCGTTTAATCATTTGGAGGAAGACGTTAAAGGATCTCAACTGGTGGAAGAGAGAGGCACCGGGGTGGTTTCCACGTTCAGGCCTTCTTCACATCCGCTAACTGCTCCTTCACTTTTGTCGGGTCTACCTGAATTTTCACACCTTGGTTGGGGCCATTGGTTCACTCTTAGAGACCTACAGCTTGCAACTAACCGGTTTTCAAAGGATAATACCGTCGGTGACGGTGGATATGGAGTTGTTTATAGGGGCGATCTGATTAATGGGACCTCCGCAGCTGTTAAAAAGCTCCTTAACAATCCGTATGTTGTATGAAAGATTAATCCTTTGGTTTGTGTTTTGTTGTCCATAGCTTCTAAGGTTCACCCATACTTGTTCTATGTTCTTTTAGGGGGCATGCTGACAAGGATTTCCGAGTGGAAGTTGAAGCCATTGGTCACGTGCGGCATAAAAACTTAGTTCGACTTCTTGGGTACTTCATCGAGTGAACTCAAAGGTACTCTATGTTTAAGCTTTCCGGCCTACCTTAAACACAACTTTAATGAGCTCAGAAAAATCATTAAAAGACAACATAATGGTCTGTGTTTTATCAAAAATCCATTTTTAAGAGCTCGGGAGTCGATTACGTGTGGGGAAGGGTGAGCTACCTCACAACGCTCAAGATTGGTACCTAAACGATTATATGATGTTTAAATATTGGGAAATTTACAAACTCGAAAACGGATTTAAATTACGATTCTTCTATTAATTTGAATTTATTTAAAAAGATGTCAATTTTCTTAAATTAAAACAACGTTGCTTTTTCAAATAAAGAAATGAAAATTTGATAACAAATGATAAATGCAGTGGGTACAAAAAATCAAAGAGCCTAAGATATATTTCATAGAATAAAGTTGTTTATTTGATCCCAAAAAATTATAATTATTTTTATAATATAAAATATATCATTTTGTACGAACAATCTTTGAAAATGTATTTCCTTTGTAGTTAAAAGACTTTTTCTTAGATTCCTCTCACAAAATGGTGTGTCTTTGATTTTATGGATGATATAGTTTAAAGAGTATAATATTATATTAAATTTCTTGAAATGCTCTGACAAAAGAATGCTTTTTGTGTGTGAACAATCTTCGGGAATGCATTTCCTTTGTAGTTAGGAGACTTTTTCATATATTTCCCGCACAAAAAAAATAAATTTTTTGTATAAGTTAAAATTTTATTATCTAAAGAAGCAATGTTCTGCTACAATAAACATCCCAATTAGGGAGTATAAACAGCTTACAATAAAAAATGATTAGTCTATACCAATAGTTACATAGGTTAATATTAACATTATCTATTCTATTAATATTTATGCCTCTTAGTTTAGTTCGAACAAGCTCCTTGATAGACTTCAAATATGATCAATATTTCGAGACCTTCTTTGAAAAATTCTTCTATTTATTTCCTTCCAAATCGAGTAGATAAAAGCACTCCAAGCTATCTTCAAGATGGTGCAAAGAAGAGATCTGTCCTTCCAATCTTCACAAGCCCAGTCGATCATAATTTACCAAGACATGTGGGGTTTGCGCAAGTGAATAAGATTCAAGATAGATTTTCACAGAGAATTTGCGAAGTTACAATCAGCAAACAGATGATTATTTGTTTCAAGAGCCTCGTTACATAAGACACATAATCCATCAGAGACTATTCTCATCCAAGAAAGCCTTTCCCGAGCTGGGAGTCTGTCTAGAATAGTCATTCCAAGTTATTATGCTGAACTTAGGAATATGTAGGGGGAACCATATCACTTTGTGCCAAGGAACCTTGTTTCTTTGGACTCTAATTTCTTCCCATATATCTTTAGTTTTCGTAGTTCATGCGTTAAGAATTGGGAGGGTTTCAGTCCTTAGCTTCATTAGTTTTCTGATGCACCAGCTGTATGCAGGACTTTCATTCATGTCTCTGAAGTCGTTACTCTTAATCACATAAATGTTAATCCAAGCAACCCATAAAGATCCATCTCCAACAAGTATGTTTCGAATAAGTTGAATCATACATGCTTTGTCCCAGGGTTTAATGTCCTTTAAACCAAGACCTCCTTCTGATTTGGGATAGCAGATTCTTTCTCAGCTGATCCTTGCACCAGATGCTGCTTTATCAGATCCATTCCATAAAAAACGAGAGCAAAGTTGGTCTATTCGGTTGATAACAATTTGAGGAAGAATAAATTGTCTGCACCAGTAATTAGCAACACTAAATAGGACAATTTTGACAAGTTCAAGTCTCCCCGCGTAGCTTAAAAGTTTACCGGACCAATGATGAAGCCTTAATTTGATTTTATCAATAAGAGACGGACAATCCTGTTCAGTAAGCTTTCTAGTGACTAAAGGTACCCCTAACACAAAAAAATATTACCTCACATTCTCTCATATCAAAGATAGAAATAAAACAAAATAAAAATAAAACGAAGCAAAAATAATCAAAACAAAAAATGTAAAACAAAGAAGACTATCGAATACCAAAACAATTGTGCTAAAAATCTTCGAAAATACACTTTCCTTGTAGTTGGTACATGCCTTCATAGATTTCCCTCTCAATAATTTTTTTATTTATATATATATATAAAAGAAAAAAAATGATGATTTATATAAAAAATAAAGAGTAAATAATATATATATATATATATATATATATGCGCGAAAAAATAGCAATAATAAAGATAACCAAGTTGGATGTAAATCTTTAACGAATGATTATAGGTATCGTTAGGCTGATTCATATCGGGTAACTTTGTTCGAGTTTGAGCTAGTATTTGGTTTTCTACAGCAGGAAGGAGAGCTGGTTAGGACAGCTTCCTTTGCTGATGATGGAGAGATTTTAGACGGAATGATTACCCGAAGCCGGGGGGTGGGGGAGATGAGACGCATTTGCAGCCCGAAGGTATCAAGCTCCACCGCTACTCCTTCCAAAGAATTTAGGAGAACCATCTCAGAAAAAGTGTTCAGCCTGAAGTTAACAAGCTCCACCTCAACTCCATCCAAGGAATTTACGAGAACCATCTCGGAAAAGGTGTACAGCCCCAAAGTAAGCCAACTGAGAGGGGATCTAAGTCCCGGAAATGTTGGAAGAGGGCCATTTAGTCCAAAGAACAAATGAAGCAAAACCATCAAATTTAGGAAAAGGTTGTTAGGAACATGACTGAATGAGTATGCAGTTGCAGGAAGTCTGCTATGCATTTTCCATATTACTATTATCATTCTAGTTTAAGCTCCTGGTTTTGGCCATCACTTGTGTAATATACTCTACTACCAATAAAATGTTATTGATTATCGAAGAAAAATCGATAACTCGACGTGTTCACTCGACTCATTCTATCTCATTTAACTCGACCCATTTGGGCATTGCTACTATACCAATAATAGTACATCTCATCACACAATAAGGGAAAAATAAACCCCATTAGGGATGGAACCTAAAGGCTAAAGTATTTTCTATTTAATGATAAATCTATCTATATATATATATATATGGGAATCAAAGTCTAGTCTTTTCAATCTCAACAACTATACTGAGATGTCTCTGTTATTGTCTGGGGCATGCCTTCCTGTAAGCAACCAATGGGAGGTATAGTTAATGTCTCTTCAATTCCATAAGCATTCCAACAAAATGGATCATCCAGCAACTCTCCTTCTTCTGGCAGAAGTTCGACTTCCGCCATCGTTATGTTTGTGCAGGCCACGGTGTCGCTGCACGCGAAATGGATTGGAGGGGTTCTGACATCGTACGTGCCCTTGATGTTCCTGTATTGGATGTCTGTGACATGAACAGCTGATGTTTGGTTCAGGCATTCCTTTGACAGACAGTAGTATTGGTCCACAATGATGCAGTTAAGAACATTCTCCATCTGGATGTTCTCGAACGATATGCCTGAGACCGAGCCGGTTCCCCCTTGCCATGTCTTGATCCTCACGCCGTTGTCGGATTCTCTTATGACGGTGTTGCGTACGGTTATGTTCGAAACACATGCCTGGGAATTATGCACCCCAAGGCTCCCAATGCTGCATAAATGAACTTGGCTCAGTACTTAATGTTCATTTATGATCAAGCTATTTTTAAGACACGGCAACTATTTACAGCTCAAAAGCAATTGGTTGATGTGTTCATTTAGTGTCGAAAACGACATCCGATGCCGACCATACACAATGTGCACTTGAATTTTATTTCTCCGTTTTAAGTAATTTTTACCTTTCTAATCAACTAAAGTGTACCTCACTGAATTAAATGCTATCCGACGCATGCTTAAGATCGCTTTTGGCTGTTGAAGAGCATTTTTCGATGGCAAAATTAACCCGAAACCGCCTTTTTGTCGTTAAACACACTTTTTGGAGCCAAACCAAGAAATTAATTGTAGGTGCTTTTCATCTGTTTTTGCACACATCTTACAGGTATGTCTGGTTTAGTAGTTAACAAAGGGTGTCTTTAGCATTGAAACCAAACCGAAAAGCGTTTTTCAACCGCAACAACTATGTTAAACTAGTACAAAGAGAGCGGCGGTCTACGATACCTGATCCCATGGCTTGGACCGCAGGTGACGCCATCGATGTCTACATTAGAGCATCCAGTACCAATTGAAATGCAATCATCTCCTGTTTAGATCAAAACCATGAGTTTTTTCCCCTGCATTATTGCAGACATAAACTGTGTAAACAAATAACAAAACATGTCTCCCACCGTTGCTTATCATAGAGTTATAAATCCCAACAGATTTAGTGTTCTCAATGTGGATCCCATCGGTGTTGGGGCTAAGCTTAGGCGTCGATACGGACAACTTCTCGATCAAAACCCCTTCGCACCCATCGAATTTCATGTGAAACTGAGGGCTGTTTTGGATCCTTATGCCACTCACTACTAAGTTTGAGCTCATGAAGAACCTTATCATCTGTATAAAGCAAATCACAGATCAATATTCGATACACTAACAGCGAATAATTATATATATCGATACGTCGTTTAAATCATACTTACAGCAGGGCTGTCACATGGTCCTGGCAGAGACGAACCATTGGGACCCTAGTCACATCATCACGTGAATTTAAAGCCACACATTGATTATTTTTAACTTGAAAAATAATAATAAGATAAAGTACCCTGTGAGGCTTGCAAGGGAGTTCCCACCATTTGTGTCCATTTCCTTCAATGATCCCATTACCCGTGAGTTTCATGTCATTAAGTCGATAAAATACTAGCCATTGCTTGCGGCTATCTGCTTTGGGCCAGCATTCGGGTCCCTCTGGTGGCATTAGGACTCCATCAACCTTCCACCATTCAATCACAATCGAATTAAACTCCGAATTAGTAAACGAAGGGCTAATTTAGCATTGCTTTTAAAAAACAAAAATCGAAAAATGCTTACTTGAAACACAAGTCCAGGTTTGCAAGGCCCTGAGAAGATAGTGGAAGTGATCATGAAAACTTTATCGGAAGGAACCAAAATAGTGGCTGATTCTACAGCACAAGCAGCTTTCCATGCTTCCCTGAAAGCCGCAGTGTCGTCCGAAGAACCATCACCCGCTGCACCATACGAAGTCACATCGAAAATGCAGTCCGATGTATTGCCGGGATCGTTTGGGTACGGGTCCGAGGGAATCGATGGCGAGCTAGCAGGAGGAGGTTCAGCAGGTGTTGAAGGAACCGAAGGAGCTGGTGCTTCATCAGATGGAGGAGGAGGTGACACATTAACCTTTTGTCCCTTGTGGTAATGGTATCTCGCATCGACATTGATGGTACAAAGGGTGACCACCATTGCCACCGCAGTCCACACGAATAAAAACCCGCGACCGAGGTCCATTGGAGGCTACACAATGTATCAGTATCAAGCAGGCTAATATGAAAAGAGCAAAACGGCAAGTGTTTTCACAAGTGATCCAAGTATTTCTGAAGAGATGAACCAAAGGGTTGTGCCAATTTATAGTGAAGCACAAGCTCCACAGGGGAAAAACCATAGTCGAGTGACTGTTCGAAATGTGTCAAGCCGTGATTGATGGAGGGTTTTCCTCTTGTGTGCCGAATTTGGCAGAAGATTCGTTGGATTCGCAAATATTAGGATTCAAACCCCTAAATTTATTTAAGATACCTAATATCTCATCACTAGATTTAGCTCTTTGCGTGAGAACATATATAGTAGGTGGTGGACGACAAGAGAATTAAAACACTCACGGGTGCATCCAAATTCTGTGGTCCATAAACCCTCATTCTCATCAATAACTCATGTGATGGAATCGATAAATTCAACTCATTAAATAAAAAATGTGAAGAATAAAAATAAAAATATAAAATATTATTATAATTGATTGAAATAATCGGAAATTAAAATAAAACCCCACCTAAATTCTATATTAAATTTTACTGAGATGGAGTCTTAGATTCGATCACGGGTGGGTTTGAGTTTAAGCTAGAAGAACACTTTTCTTAATATTCCTGGGAGTGTCAGGCCGAGTTTGTGGCTGGAAGCAATGACACGTAGGACTGTGTTGTTTTGCAGGAGATTCAGCCATTGGTTGCTTTTTGTGAATGCTTGGGGCCACTGCCAGACTGCCATTGATTGGCTATGAGCTCGTGTGGTAGTATTATTTAGGATAAAAATGGAGGGATATTAATCCGAATCATCAAAATTTTTAAAAATAAATTTGGGTTCGAGTTGGATTTTTAAAAGGTGAGGTCGAGTTCAGGTGGAGAGTGAAAAAACTTCGATCTGATCCGATCCAATAATGATAATGTAATTTTCTTTAAAAATATTATTATTTAAATTAAATACTTATTTTATATCTGATCGAGTTGAATGAATGATATAAGTCGAGAGAACTGTTATCATCCATTGAGGTCCTGTGTTTGAATACGATAAATGTCAAAAATACGAATATTTATTATTAAATTATTGAGAATATTCAAACAGATACTACCTTATGTTTATCTTTTATATATATATATATATATATCAATGATTTTAGATGTATTTCACTCTTTTATTATTCGGTATTCAATAATCACAAATCTCTTTATTTTAAATTTAATTTAAAAATATATATAATTTATTGCCCGGGATCCAAGATACGTCAGCACAAAGGATCTCGACCGCTTACAGTTCCAACACAAAAAATTCACATGCAGCTACATGGGAATGGCAAAACGAAGAGAAGACACGTGTCATTGTGGAATTCACGGGCTATAATTCCAGAGTCACGGGTGGAGAAAAAGGGGTTAATCATTCATTTATTAATTATTAAGAGATTGTCTCATGCAATGGCTTCGAATCGGGTCCTTTGAGGTCGCATAGCATTACACGAAACCCGCAGACAAAACACAGGAGACAGATGACAGATGCTCGCCAATATCTTAACTAACGTTGTTTATTTTATTACTAATCTTTGTCTTTATGATTCTTAATCCAGATTATGCTCAAGTCTAGTTACGCGACCACCATTTGTTGGGCTCGTGATCGGCTTCAATGAGATTGAAGATAACAGTAGCTACGAATGTGACCATTGTTTATGCCATTGGAGATGTGGTTCCAGGGCCAACGTTAGCCCACGAAACAGGAGGAGGGTGGTGTTGAGTTTATAGCCGGTAAACCCGGCCGTGTCGATTATGACAAGGTCACCGGAGATTAACGCGCTTGGTATCGATTACCGTGTCGAGAAGTTCCCTTTCTTGGCAAATAGCCGAGCCGAGGCAATCTACCATGTCGAAGGGTAGTCAATAAGAAGATCCTCAAAGTCCATGTCATGGCACCAATGGCGAGGAGTTCATTAATGAAACAGTCCTCGCCATTGACTACGATGCATCGAGCAAGAAAATTGTTCATGTATTCCATGCTCGTCGTATACGACGAGCTAGACATTAAAAGAAAGAATTCATTAATCAACAATGAAATCACATATAATTTCTAGGGTAAAGTATACAAATAATCTCTCGACTATAAGATATTATTTTATTAAATCTATCGACTATTAAAAGTTACAAAATAGTCCTCCAATTATAAAATGTTACTTTGTTAAGTCCTTCGTCTATTAAAAATTAAAAAATGATCACATAACTATTCATTATATTTCAAACTCGTTCATTTCCATTTAACATTGACAGTTGTCTAATTTTCAAAAAAATCTCAATACGAATTTCAATCAATCAAATTTAAATCTTAGTAGATCTACCATTCCGAATCGGGTACTGCAGAGGCAAGGGACCCTCCCAACCCAATTTGTTCCATTCACAATCGTCTAATTCGACCCCCTAACCTTGATTAAGGGATCTAGTGTCTAATCCCACCAGACCAACCGATTGTTGGTAAGAAAAGTATTGATACCCTCATGACAGTACCGATACTACTTATTGGTTTTAAATGTGTTCAGATTCCAGTAGCCATTTTTTGTATCGATACTCAAAGGAGTATCGATACTACTTTGTATAATAGTATCGATATCATGATCTCAGTACCGAGACTCCAAGCCCAACGGTCGAAAAAAGACTAGTTTTTATTAGTGCATCAATTAAGTCTCAACGGCTCCAAAACATCCCCAACGACTCCAAAATATCTCCAACGGCTAGAAACGACTACAAACACATTCCAACGTATAAAAACAAGTTGAGGACACTTGAAGAAGTTTACAAAACCTATCCAAGCAATCAACATCAAGAGAAAAGCTCTTTCAATATTATTTTTCCTTTTCTCTTGTACATAGAGTGTTTTATTGAGCTAAATTGTGTAAACACATTCCTTTGAGAGTTTTCTTGTTTACAACCTTTTATCCTTGTTAAAAGGGGGTTTCGGTTCTATCTTGAGCATAGAAAAAGAAATAACAAATTCGTGAATTTGTTAGAAATCTTTAGTGAGCATATAAGGTAGCGGATGTAGACTTTATTAAGGAAGTTGAACCTTTATAAATATTTGAGCCAATTTTCCTATGCTTTCTCCTTCATTCCCAAAAATTTTAAAAAGATCAATTTACTCCCTCTTGACAACATTTTCAATTAATCGATAGAGCATCGTAAATCCCAACAATTTATCATAATTAATTACGAAGATAAATTGCTAAACGCACTTAATTGAATACTTACCATAATTGAAGATCTCTTTAAATTCACTTAATTCTAAAGGTTAAACCCTATTCAATTACAAACAATAATTTAGTTATTAAGAAATCTTATTCAAGATTTTTAATAATAAGATATATCTATTACCTTAAATATATTTAACAATCAAATAAATTTTAACTAATAAAAGTAATTAAAATCTCAACAGAAACATTACCAATTATAATTTTAATCAATCTCTACTTTTATTGGATTGTATGGCAAGATTTTAGATTCCAGATTTATGGATAAAAAAATAATATATATCTCTAATTTTTTTTTTAATTAAGTCATTATTTTAGATCGGGTCAAGTTGTTTCGGGTTAGATTTATACTTTAAAAATTAGGAACATATCAAAATCGGATGATTGATATATATTTTTTAGATCAGATGAAGGATGTATAATTTTCGGGTTAGATCAGATCCGGATAGAGAATATTATTTTTAGGTCAGGTTGACAAAAACCCAACCCGATCCAACCCGTTGTCATCCCTAAATATAACAATTTAAAGATAGATATAAAAAGAGGTAAAAAAATACTTATTTTATTCTGATAACATAAGAGTCAATAAAAACATATTGAAACTTAAAAGAAGTATAATAATCGGGTCGAGTTGGATATTTTAAGATCGATGTCAACCGAACTAATACTACGTTGACGTACCCATATGCATATTAAACATATATCATAACTAATAGCATGATCATAATAATAGTGATAATAACTAATGGATTATATGATTATTTTAAGCTGCAGATGGAGCTTTCCTCTCGTTATCGACAACGTCGTCTTTGTTAAGTTTAGAGATCATGGAGCCGAGCTTTGTTGGTTCATCAATGGCGGATCCCTTGTAATCCAGAGATTCATCTTCGTAAATTTCCCACCATTTCTTTACCAACATCTTTATGTCCTCTCTCTCCATGTTATCTTCCTTCCCTGTGTACCTCCACGGCTTTGATCCCTGCAATATTTGCATGCATCATGACTAAAAGTTCTTTAACATACACGCATGCATGCATGCATGCTTACAAACCGCTGCACAATAATGGACGACGTTGACTTTGCCGAGGTCTATGTTTTCGGGGTGGCCCCATAGAAGAGCCAAGACGAGGTTGTAAACCGGAGGGATCGGCTTGTAAATCTCCCTGAAGAACACATTCAGAAAGTCCTGCAATTGTAATTTTCCCATGAAATAAACAATGAAACTTTATGATAAGAAGAAAATTTAGGTCAAATTACAGTTTTGGTCCATTTAGTATTCTCAAACTTATGATTTAATCCTTTTAATTCGACATATTTTGATTTGTTATATGATTTTATTAAAAGAATCCATTCTAACGCATTATGATGGTATAGTGAAGGGTGTTTAAGAAAAATACAACGTTGTAAATTACAAGGACTAAATCCTAATTTTAGTATAGTGCATAAAATAAATGAAATTATGAATCTACCTGCTCAGCAAAGGAAGTAGGAGCAGTGGCCCTGAAGGTGTCCAAGAGACGGCGGTAGGTGACAAGATAGACGAACATGCCAGCGTTGAAATAGAGTGCCGGAGCCGACCCCATCGACACCGGCCACTCGACCTTGTCGGGGCAGTGCTGGCAATATCCGATGGTGTACTGAGGAGAACTGGACCATGTTTTCTCACAGAAGCAGTCCATGACGGCATAGAAATAGCCATCCTCTAGCTCGAAAAGGTGATCGATGTTGGCGAACACTTGAATATTGCCGTCCAAGTATATCATCTTCTCATACTCCACAAACTACAAATTAATTAACTCACAAT